TGCATCGACCACTCTTGCCATTCTATAGTGGTGTAAGGTTGGAGCCGATCAAATGTGACCAGCATCTAGTAGCTCTTTCAATTATTTCCTGAGCTCCTCTAGCTGGGGTGGTGCCATACGATATGGGGTAAATGTGGGTGGCTTAGCCCCTGGCTCCAACTCAATCTTGTGATCCACCTCTCGCCTAGGCGGCAAGTGCTTAGGCAACTCCTCGGGCATGACATCTTTATTTTCCTCAAGCAACTTCTTTATGCAAGGCGGCACTATCTCTTGAAAATTCGCGTCTTCCTCTAGACATGCAATGGTTGCCATGAACGTCGTCTCCCCCTTCTTGATCCCCTTGACAACCTGCATAGCTGAGAGTTGTGCTTGGATCTGTCCGTGTGGCATAGTCACTGTAGGTACCATGCAAGCTCCTTCTCGCTCCATAACCAAGAGACGTTGGAGGTAGGGGTCGATTAAAGTATGACAATGTCTAAAGAATTCTTGCCCCAGTATGATGTCAAAGATATCCATAGCGATTACGGTAAAGTTTGTCATACCTTTCCAAGCTCCCAATTTGACACCAACTCCATTAGCTACCCCACGAGCATTTTGTACCTCGGCATTCATGGTCATGACGAGAGAGTTAGTTGGAGCAAGCTTCAATTCTAGTCTCTTTGCGGCAGCCTCAGTCACGAAATTATGAGTTGCTCCAGTATCCACCATTGCACAAGCGAGCTTGTTGTTGATGGTGAGATCCACGTACTGATTGCCATTCTCAGTAGGTTGGATAGCTTGCTTTCTGACAGCACCACATAATCAGATCATACCCAACTGTGCGGTTCCCAAACTCTCTCCTTGCGGCTGCTCCTTTCGTTCATAGACTATGGCGCTGAGGCTCTTTAGGTCGGTACAATTCCTGAAGCCGTGCGGCCCTCCACATATGTAGCATCCCTTCTTCTCGGCCTGTACCTTCTTCTCAGCGTAGCCCTGGCGACCACTCGACCTTTTGGGATCTTGAGTCTTGGAGTATTGTTGTTGTATCTCCTTGCCTTTGCCACAGTCTCCCTCACTTTTGACATAGCTAACCTTTAACTTCTTGCCTTTGCCTTTGTCGTGCTTGTCATGCCTGAAATCCATCAATGATTCAGCCTCCACTATGGCTTGGTCTATAGCCACAACTTGCTGACGTTGTAACTCCTGTTTAGCCCAATTTTGCAACCCGTCCATGAAGTGGAACAACAAGTCATCATTGGTTAGATTAGGAATTTGAAGCATAAGGGTAGTGAACTGCTTGACATAGTCACGTATGCATCGTGTTTGCTTCAACTCCCTGAGCTTGCGCCTTACCTCCTACAAGACATTGTTTGGAAAGAACTGTCGCTTGAACTCAACTTTGAACTGATCCCACGTGCTAATAGTACATAGACCTATATCCATGTCGGCAATCTTCCTTCTCCACCATAACATGGCTATCTCTGAGAGGTACAACACGGCAGTGTTGATCTTGGCCTTGTCGTCCCTCACTTTTCCGTGCTTGAAATAGTTCTCCAAGTGCCAAAGGAAGTTTTCCACTTCTTGTGCATCACAAACACCTTTGAACACCGGGGGTTTGGGAGCCTCGATCTTGGCCTCCCTCATCACCACAACATTGTTGGTTGCCTCGGTCACGCCAGCACTGATATGCTCCTCGAGTGACTCTATCTTTGCCTTCCATCTTCCCCAAGCGTTGATCAAAGATCTTCACGACATCCATCCTCGCATTCATCTTCGTCACCCACTCTTTTCCGAGCGAGACGTTCTCACGCAGGACCTGCGCTTCATCCTCGCTCGCCTCAGTGGCAGATGGTTCTTGGGATGTAAGCCCTTCGTTTGACACAACCTCGGTTGGCACCTCTTGGCTCTTGTTGGTGGCATTCCTCTTTTTGCTACGGCAGCTCTTGCCAGTAGCATCTTGGATGATGTTGGCTTGGGTGTTGGCAACGTTAATTTCTCCGTCGTTCGCCATTCCCTTAGTTGCAACCTGGCTATGATACCACGTTGTCACGTCCTTAGTAATTAACTAAGTACACGTGTGACACTTGACAACTCGCTCACGATCTTGCACAACTTTCTCACGTTCTTGTTATGCCAAGTCTGCCTTACTACACTCAAAATCGCTAAGGGAATTAGATAGGAATTAAATTCCAAACCTATCTTAGCTCTCTGTGGAAATCGATCCCGACCCCTCGGGTAAAAGCTGCATCGACCAGTCTTGCCATTCTATAGTGGTGTAGGGTTGGAGTCGATCAAATGTGACCAGCGTCTAGCAGCTCTTTCAATTGTTTCCTGAGCTCCTCCAGCTCGGGTGGTACCATACGATATGGGGAAAATGCGGGTGGCTTAGCCCCTGGCTCCAACTCAATCTTGTGATCCACCTCTCGCCTAGGCTGCAAGTGCTTAGGCAACTCCTCGGGGCATGATATATTTGTTTTTCTCAAGCAACTTCTCTATGCAAGGCGGCACTATCTCTTGAAAATTCGTGTCTTCCTCTAGACATGCAATGGTTGCCACGAACGTCGTCTCCCCCTTCTTGATCCCCTTGACAACCTGCATAGCCAAGAGTTGTGCTTTGATCTGTCCGTGTGGCATAGTCACTGTAGGTACCATGCAAGCTCCTTCTCGCTCCATAACCAAGAGACATTGGAGGTAGGGGCCGATTAAAGTATGACAATGTCTAAAGAACTCCTGCCCCAATATGATGTCAAAGATATCCATAGCGATTACGGTAAAGTTTGTCATACCTTTCCAAGCTCCCAATTTGACACCAACTCCATTTTCTACCCCACGAGCATTTTGTACCTCGGCATTCACGGTCTTGACGCGAGAGTTAGTTGGAGCAAGCTTCAATTCTAGTCTCTTTGCGGCAGCCTCAGTCACGAAATTATGAGTTGCTCCAGTATCCACCATTGCACAAGCGGGCTTGTTGTTGATGGTGAGATCCACGTACTGATTGCCATTCTCAGTAAGTTGGATAGCTTGCTTTCTGACAGCACCACATAATCTGATCTTACCCAACTGTGCGGTTCCCGAACTCTCTCCTTGCGGCTGCTCCTTTCGTTCATGGACTATGGCGCTGAGGCTCTTTAGGTCGGTACAATTCCTGAAGCCGTGCGGCCCTCCACATATGTAGCATCCCTTCTTCTCGGCCTATACCTTCTTCTCAGCGTAGCCCTGACGTCCACTCGACTTTTTGGGATCTTGAGTCTTGGAGTATTGTTGTTGTATCTCCTTGCCTTTGCCACAGTCTCCCCCACTTTTGACATAGCTAACCTTTAACTCCTTGCCTTTGCCTTTGTCGTGCTTGTCATGCCTGAAATCCATCAATGATTCAGCCTCCACTATGGCTTTGTTTATATCCACGACTTGCCGACGTTGTAACTCCTATTTAGCCCAATTTCGCAACCCGTCCATGAAGTGGAACAACAAGTCATCATTGGTCAGATTGGGAATTTGAAGCATAAGGGTAGTGAACTGCTTGACATAGTCACGTATGCTCCGTGTTTGCTTCAACTCCCTGAGCTTGCGCCTTGCCTCGTACAAGACATTGTTTGGAAAGAACTGTCTCTTGAACTCGACTTTGAACTGATCCCACGTGCTAATAGTACATAGACCTTTATCCATGTCGACCATCTTCCTTCTCCACCATAACATGGTAGTCTTTGAGAGGTACAACACGGCAGTGTTGATCTTGGCCTTGTCGTCCCTCACTTTTCCGTGCTTGAAGTAGTTCTCCAAGTGCCAAAGGAAGTTTTCCACTTCTTGTGCATCACAAACACCTTTGAACACCGGGGGTTAGGGAGCCTCGATCTTGGCCTCCCTCATCACCACAACATTGCTGGCTGCCTCGGTCACGCCAGCATTGATATGCTCCTCGAGTGACTCTATCTTTGCCTTCCATCTTCCCCAAGCGTTGGCCAAAGATCTCCACGACATCCATCCTCGCGTTCATCTTCGTCACCCACTCTTTTCCGAGCGAGACGTTCTCACGCAGGACCTGCGCTTCATCCTCGCTCGCCTCAGTGGCAGATTGTTCTTGGGATGTAAGCCCTTCGTTTGACACAACCTCGGTTGGCACCTCCTGGCTCTTGTTGGTGGCATTCCTCTTTTTGCTACGGCAGCTCCTGCCAGTAGCATCTTGGATGGCGTTGGCTTGGGTGTTGGCAACGTTAATTTCTTCGTCGTTCGCCATTCCCTTAGTTGCAACCTGGCTTTGATACCATGTTTTCACGTCCTTAGTAATTAACTAAGTATACGTGTGGCACTTGACAACTCGCTCACGATCTTGCACAACTTGCTCACGTTCTTGTTATGCCAAGTCAGCCTTACTACACTCAAGATCGCTAAGGGAATGCTAGAAAGAACACAAGAGAATTGCTAATGGAAGCTTTGCATTAGAGAGAACTTGAATTGTTTGCTTGATGCATTACAAATGAATGGCCCCCTTTTGTATACTAGTTTCCTAGGGGCTAGTGTGTAAATATTAATTATTACACAAGTCCTTAATATTTACCAGATAAGGGCTTTCTCTAGAATTCTCTACAAGCCTAGAAGATTCCAAGGACTTTCCTAGCAAATCCATAAGGATCTAGTTTCTTCCTAAGAAAATGTCCATAATTCTCTATAATCTTCTCACAAATGCTAGCCTTCTTCTTATATAAGCTTCTATATGGCATTAATATATGCCAAATGGCGCCTATGTGGCATGATGATGTGGCGCGTCATCACACTCGGTCTCAACATATGTTGGCGAAACTAAGCTAACTAATTGATAGATTTCTTGAATTAACTTCGGGATATTTTTCTAACTTGGTCAAATAGACTATAAAGGATAAAGAAGATGTCGAAAAATTAAATAAAGGGTGATCCCTCTCCGAAAAAAAAAGCATCTAATTTTAAACCCAAAATTCTTTACCGTTCTAGAACCTTCTTTACCCCCCCCCCCCCCCCCGAATTTTAGAATCTTCTTTTGTCTGACCAAACAGGAAAATAAAAGAAATTCTAGAATCTCCTTTTGACGACTTGCCGTGTGGTTTTTCCATACCAGATATAGATTTAATTTGACTCTCTGATTTTGCCATACACATATAGTTCTCCTATTCCGTCGCCAAAATTGATTTCCCCTAAATTCTATAAATACGCTGCATTAGCACTCTTTTTCTCCATATACAAGCCATCTAGCTTTGTCGTAGATATTGATACATTCCTCTGAAAATCAAGCAATCCATTCTCAAGGTACGATAACTTTTCTCCTCTCTTGAATTCCTTAATTTGATTTTTTTTCGTATTTCAGTTGCTTTAAGTGAATCTAGTTGCATTCATTTGTTCAATATCGTCGAGTATGTTAGTTGATTCTTTGTTTATCTCTGAATTGCAAGGGTTTTCTTTGTCGTAATGGATTCCGTATGAAGAATCGATCAATAGGGATGAACGTTTTTTTTAGGGAAAAGGAAAAGCCTTTATTTGTGATCTGTTGTGTTGATTTCCTTTTTACAGTAAATTTTACTTTAAGATCCATCGGAACAGAATTTTGAAGAATTCACTCTGCTACTTAACCTAATCAGCAGAAAATTTAAGATATTTCGTAGTATTATAGGGTCAATAGATTCTTATTAACGCATGAAATATAGATTTTGTTGGAGGAAAAATAAAATTCGAAGAATTTCCTAAAAGTGAATTAAATCTATAGAAGTTTGTGTAGCAGTTGTGATATTTCAAGGGATCTTATATAGGAGTTTGGTTTGATTAATACAGATGCAGATCTTTGTTAAAACCTTAACTGGAAAAACCATCACACTGGAAGTTGAAAACTCAGACACGATAGATAATGTTAAGGCGAAAATTCAAGACAAGGAGGGTATTCCACCGGATCAGCAGAGGCTGATATTTGCAGGGAAGCAATTGGAAGATGGGCGTACACTCGCAGATTATAATATTCAAAAGGAGTCAACTCTCCACCTTGTTCTCAGGTTAAGGGGTGGAATGCAAGTTTTTGTTAAAACCTTGACTGGAAAAACAATCACATTGGAAGTCGAAAGCTCGGACACGATTGATAATGTTAAGGCCAAAATCCAAGATAAGGAAGGTATTCCACCAGATCAACAACGTTTGATCTTTGCAGGAAAACAGCTCGAGGATGGGCGTACTCTCGCGGATTACAATATTCAAAAGGAGTCAACACTCCACCTTGTTCTTCGTCTCCGTGGTGGAATGCAAATCTTTATTAAAACCTTAACCGGGAAAACCATTACATTAGAAGTTGAGAGCTCGGACACAATTGATAATGTTAAGGCGAAAATCCAAGATAAGGAAGGTATCCCGTCAGACCAGCAGAGGCTGATTTTTGCTGGGAAGCAATTAGAAGATGGACGAACTCTGGCTGATTATAACATCCAGAAGGAATCCACCCTTCACCTTGTTCTCAGATTGAGGGGCGGCATGCAGATCTTTGTGAAGACGTTGACGGGGAAGACGATCACGTTGGAGGTGGAGAGTTCTGATACCATTGACAATGTGAAGGCCAAGATACAGGATAAGGAGGGTATCCCACCAGACCAGCAGAGACTGATTTTTGCAGGGAAACAATTGGAAGATGGAAGGACTCTTGCAGATTATAATATTCAAAAGGAATCCACCCTTCACCTTGTTCTCAGGCTAAGGGGTGGAATGCAAATCTTTGTTAAGACCTTAACTGGAAAAACAATCACGTTGGAAGTTGAGAGCTCGGACACGATAGACAATGTTAAGGCCAAAATTCAAGACAAGGAAGGCATTCCACCGGATCAGCAGAGGCTGATTTTTGCTGGGAAACAATTGGAAGACGGGAGGACTCTTGCTGACTATAACATTCAAAAGGAGTCAACACTCCACCTAGTCCTTCGCCTTCGTGGTGGAATGCAAATCTTCGTTAAAACTTTAACAGGAAAGACCATCACACTGGAAGTTGAGAGCTCAGACACGATTGACAATGTGAAGGCGAAGATACAGGATAAGGAGGGTATTCCACCGGACCAACAGAGGCTTATCTTTGCTGGGAAGCAGTTGGAGGATGGTAGGACATTGGCTGATTACAATATCCAGAAGGAGTCTACTCTCCATCTTGTGCTGAGGCTGAGGGGTGGATTCTAAGCTTGTTATATGTTTCTCCGACTTATTCTTGATGTATGTTTTAGTTTTATTACTTGTGCTACTGTGCAAAGGCATCTATAAGATGTCAATGCTGTGAAATGTGAATGGACTACTGTTTCTTTAGTGGGAATTTGATGGTGTTTCTTATAAAGTTTATTCCTTTATGACATTAGCCTTTTTGAATTACTGGGGTTTGATTTGCAGCTACAAAATCATAATATGAACGTACAGCCTTCAGACTGATGGAACCATTTGAAATAGCTAAATGTGATACCTAATTCTGTGCTTATATACTGCAGAACAGAAGTGCTGAGACGAGCCTGGATTTAAGTTTGCGGCCAACATATCATTAAAAAAAACTTGTCTAAGGAGTATTGCAAGTGAAATAATGTGTATTCAAGTATTTTTACCCAGATAGTGTACCAAAATGTTTGTACAATTGTTCATTATGTGAATTAAAATTTGAATAGAATTTGAAGTGGAAAATTTGTATGAGGAATATTTAAAGGAATTTCACGTTTAAATACATCTTTTCCAAATACTCTTTTTCTATTTCAATTTTGAGTACTTAACTCTTTTATAACTTCCAAAAATACTACTCCTAAGTTATATCTAGACAGTGGTTCTTTCACAAATCTCTGACCTTTTTTTTAACAGGACATCGCATGCAAGCATTTCGAGAAAAGAAATTCTTATTCAAGTACAATTAATTATCAAATACTCTTTTTCAATATCAACATTACTTTTGTACTCTCTTTTTTCAAAATCGCAAACAATTATTGTCCAAATTCTAATTAATACTTGTGGTTTCCTCTGTAAGTTATGTTATCTATCATCTTCTATTTTATCTATAGAAATGCTGACCAATTCTTAACTTGTGGAGTAGATGGTAAATTGATGTTCACTACTAGAAATCCGGAAAAAAGCGATCAAAGTTGGTCACTTATTGGCCAAAAAGCGACCAAACACGCCTGGTCCATATTAAGCTGGTCCCTTTACCTTAGCAACCAACTTTGGTCTCTCAGGTAAAAGGACCAAATTTTTCGGATAAAGAAAATAGCGACCAACTTTGGTCGCTACAATATTTAATATTATTATTTTGCGACCAAAGTTGGTCTCTTTATGTAAATTACGTTTTTATTTATTTATTATTAATCATAAAATAGCGACCAACTTTGGTCTGTAAAGAAAAATATTATATTTTAAAATCTGAAAAATAGAGACCAAAGTTGGTCGCTATACTATAAATATTTTTAATTTTTTTTTAAAATAATCGACCAAAGTTGGTCGCTAACTTCATGAATTAATTTTTTTTTAGTATTAAGCGACCAACTTTGGTCGCTATATTTCCAGAAATTGTTAATTCTCTGGGAAATAGCGACCAAAGTTGGCCGCTTTTTGTGAGATCTGGGTTATATAGCGACCAACCTTGGTCGCTATTTCCCAGAAAATTATTTTTTTTAATAGAGAAGCGACCAAATAGCGACCAAAGTTGGTCGCTTTTTTTGGTATATTGCTGGCAGGAACTGCCTGTTTTGGCAGCTACACCACCTGCCAGCTTACCAAAATTCCTAAATAGGCATTTTATGCCAACAACAACAACAACAAGCAACAACAACAACTAAAAATCAACAACAACAACAACAACACAATAACAACATTATAACGAACAAAGTATAAAGTTCAATAGAACTTTATACTTTAAGCTAACCAAACTAATAAGTTAACTGTTATTACAAAACCCATCGAAAACCGATTGTATTTGTCTAGTATAAACTAATAAGTTCAAAGATTGTTCTGTACATCATTATCATCACCGTCTGATGAACTTTCTTCACCATGACGGTATCCAGAATGGGCTATTTGTGGAGGATGGGAAGAACGATCACGGGGAGGACGGGAGGAACGAGCACGGGGAATGCGAGCCTCTGGCGATGACTCGCGAGACCGGGGAATCGGAAAACTGCCAGAAGCTAGGAGAGATTTGATCTGCTCTTGCATGCCCTTGTACTGAGCTTGCATGCCAGAGTACTGCATATCTCTAAGCCTTTCTCTCTCCTTGGCGGCTTCTAGCTCGGATGTGAGCTTTTGTACAATCTCCCGCATAGAGGAGAGGCTCTCCCCATCAAGTTGCTCGGCTTGGGAGGAAGTCCCTATTCCTTGCATTCCACACTTATAGCGATGGAATTTCTTATTAGGAAGCCCGTATACCTTCCCCCATTTTGGACCGCCAGCAGCCTGCGTCCACATTCTCTCAGCATCCTCGTCCGATAGTTGGATTGGCGCGCCCGATTCATTAGGTGGCTGACTGCGTATGAATTGCTCCACTTCAACTGTGAAGCGACCCTATAAGAAAAATTACATTGAATTACTATTTCAAAATAAAAAGTAAATCAAAATTCTTAATGAAAAGTGAAAACTTACATGTACAGTCGAGGCTCGGCCCTCGACCCACCTTTCTTGGTCCGTCTCTTTCTTCTTCTTTACAATATGAGTCTCCTTGAAGAGCTCATCTTGGTTCATCGGACGCCCCAACTTTTTTTCCTGAAAACTCATAAATTTTAGTTAATAAACATTCACAAATACTTTGAAAATTAAAATAAATTAAGCAATTACGTACCATTCTTCGTTTTATCGTCCCTAGGCTGATCGCACCTCCAGTGTGCAAGGATCCTCCCTTCTCAGATGCCCGGACTTTCTTTCCTTTTTCGCTCTTCTGTAAGAACTCTGCGGTAAGCCATTGCCTTTGCAAATCATCCCATAAATTCTGAAGCAACCAGCCAGGCTTCTAGTTCAACCGCCTAGCTTTGGAGAAACAATGGGACAACCGCTTTCGAGCTTTTAGATGGAAATTTGCAGCCACTTCCGCGCTATAGCGGTGTTCCCATACACACTTGCTCTGTATTTCAAAAGTCAAGTATTATATGGAAATATCATAAAAGCTATATTCGATATATTATACTTAGCTTTTATTAGCTAATAATTATTCAAAAGTTAAGTGCATTAACTGCTTATAATATAGTATATTACTGCATTAGCTAATAAATGATTATACTGCTTAAAAGAATATTTATACCTTAAATTGATTGAAGATTGCCTCCTTGAGAGCGAATGGGAATTCACTCCAAGTCGCATAAGGACCATCATAAAGCTTTCTGGTGGCTTTGGTGATGATCCTTGTAGTAACATTACTAGGGATGAACCTGCAATTTTATTAAAAAAATACATTAATATCTTAGTAAAACTGTACTAAACAAAAAATGTTAAAATAACAAATAACTCTTACCCGTCACCCTCAGGACTATGATGATCCTGCCATATTCATCATAATGCACCTCCTCGTCATTAGCAGCATCATTGTCCGAAGCATGTACATCGGAGGCATGTGTGGAAGGTGTAGGGGTCTCAGAGCTAGTATCTCGCAGGCGAAGGCCTACAATAGATAGAGTCCCAGATGAAGATGGCTGCGAGCCCTGGGACTGCGAGCCCTGTGAGTGCGACACAGCTGTATGGGCCGCAAGTGGATGAGACACAGATAGTGTGACCCGAGTGGCTGTGACACGGATGGCTGTGATCCATGTGGATGNAGGACAACTCACGCGCTATGGTATTAATATCCTCACAACCAGGCCTTCGGCCTCACTCAGTCATGTACCTCACTAGCCTCACCATCATCAACAAATAAGGGACACAGCCCACATCAAGTATCACAGCATATTAGCAATTAATAGAGACTGAGGTAAACATGTACGATAATTTCTATGACTGAGTACAAATAATGTGAGCATGAATAAAACCTAAACAGGATCTTTAACATGAAGGCAAACAAGTTCAACAACAAGTAAACACATAACCACAGATAATAGCTTTTAGGCCTGGCCTCACGGGACGGACCAAGTCTCAATCCCTCGTGGCGCACACCCACATGCCCGTCACCTAGCATGGGTATCACCACCAAACAATCACATGATATCAATTTCTCCGGGTTTATACCCTCAAAGTCAGAGTTAAAACTGTTACTTACCACAACAGCGTAAAATCCTACTCCAGGATGTCCTCGTCCCTCGACTCGATCTCCAAAAGATTCGAATCTAACCATTATCTGAATACTACTATCAACATAGTCTAAAGAATCGAATTACACAATAAAACTACATAAACATGCCAAAAATTCGAAATCGGCCAAAACTCGGCCCCCCGGGACCACATCTCGAAATCAGTCAAAAATGGAAGAATAATAATCCTCGTCCTCTCCCGAGTCTAACCATATAAAATTTGTCAAAATCGGACTCCGTTTGGTCCCTCAAATCTTCACTTAAAACTCTCCAAAACTCAAACCCTAACTCCCTCAATTTCACTTTAAAATCATCAATCAAATCTCAAAAACGAAGATGGATTCATAAATTATATTCAAAATAGAGTAGAGAACACTTACCTCAATCCATATGGTAAAAATCGCCCAAATCCGAGCTCCCCAACTCAAAATATGACCGAATGAACAAACCCTAATTTTGTATATTTTTCTACCAGCTATTCTGCCTCGTTTCTCGAGCCAAACGATCCTGAAACTCGTATTTTATGCCTTCAATAGATTCCTTGTGAAATTCTAGTCAAGTTAGGCTTTTGAATCACTCAATTTGACCTTATAACGAAGGAGATATGTAGGTTCTAATATATGCAAATAGTGCAGATTTTTAAATACGCTGCTAGTGGCAATTTCGTAATTACTCTGAAAAAATCTCACAACCTAATTTTTAGTAAAATGACCATAAAATCCTCATACGATGTCCAAATTAGATGATTCTTTTTTCTACGGATCCGTAATTACGATACGTATCTAATGCTTCAATCAAAAAGAATCGGAGCTCATTGTTCAATATGATATCATTTATGCTTGAAGAAACGGCGTTCGAAACNNAAGAAAACGAGCGCAAGACAACCCAAACTTATCCGAAACTCACCCGAGGCCCTCGAGACCTCAATCAATAATTCCAACAAGTCATATATCACTGCCCGAACTTAGTCGAACCTTCGGAACACCCAAAACACCAAATCAACCTCGAATTCAAGCCTAAGAACTTCTAAACTTCCAACTTTCGCCAATTCAAGCCTAATTCTACCACGGACCTCCAAATTGTATTCCGGACACACTCCTAATTCTAAAATCAC